AGGTACGTCATGACTTTCCTTTCTTTTTGACAAATTCTTTTCATTTCTTAGAGAGAGTTTACAAGTTTCAAAAGTATTTATCTTCTTTGAACAGAGAGACCAAAGGCTAAAGTGAAAGTGCAGCCAGCTGAGCATGTGTTCATCAGAGAGAGAGTCACTCTCACATGTGACATAGAAGGTGGAGATGTCTGGAGTTACGAGTGGTTTAAGAATAATAAACGTCTCAGTGAAGCTGAAAGGAGGAAGAAATATGAAATCTCTAATGTTGATCAGTCTGATGAAGGTGATTATAGCTGTAAGGGAACAAAGTCAACAGAGCCGCGTTACTCAGAGACCAGTGATGCTGTTAGACTGACTGTATCAGGTGAGTCTCATCTTTCTTCTTTCTTCACAGGAACTGTGGATTGTTCCTGATTTCTTGTTACTCGCTCTCTTAACTACAACAACTTATATATTAGTTTAGGTTTATAGTAGTTACTGAATAATAAACTTTAAGATTAATAACTGAATAATAAGCCTGAGTTTTAAGGGGATATAAGATTAGAGGTGCATTACTAAGGCAAAATTATTGTCCTGTACATATAATAAGATATTTCTCTTTAGAACACACTGTATTTTAGACGCTCCTCCAGTGAGTTCAGGGGGCTCAACTCTCAACACTGACTACAGTGAAACAGCTGAGAGTTTAGTTAGAGTTTGTTGACAGACAGAAAGTGGAAGATACAGTGAGAGATCATGTTTAGATGGTTAAAAAGGGACAGGATCATGTGCACAAGCTGGAACAGTGAAACAGAAGTAGTGATTAAAATTTCTTTCTTCAAATTCTTTTAGAGAGGAATTATTTCTCTCAGGTTAATCAGTATGAATGCCTAATTTTTAAATTAGGTATTATTAGAATTATTATTATTATAGAATTAAGTTAATAATGTAACATCATTAATTCATATTTAATTAATTTAAATTAACTGGGTGTGTCTGATTATGTTATTCAATTAATAATTCAATATCATTAATTATTGTTTAATAATTAAATGAATTAGAAAATCAGAACAAACACACCTCAGATATACTGTGTAACAGTTATGGTGTTTTGTGTCACCAGAATTAGGGATTAGAGGTGGGCACTAACATATTATTTTATGTTTATTTTATATTTATGTTGACTTGATAAATTTCGTTTTTCATTCTGAACACTCATATGGGGAAAAATATATTGGCATATGCAGGGTGATTTAAGATTCATCCGATAAAGTTTATTATGTAATTTTACAAGTGCTCAATATGAACCTCCTCCAGCTGTACGGACAACATCAACACCATAGTCAAATTCATCCCGTACTCGATTGAGCATGTCGGGTGTCACTGTGCTTACGGCTCTTTCAATTCGATTTCGGAAGATCATCCAGTGTTGTGGAACCAACGACGAATGATCTGAGCTGCTGGAGGTTCACTTCCAAAAAAATCACATTGCACAGTTATGACAGATGAATCTTTTTGAATCACCCTGTATAATTTTTATATGTGAGATACATTTCAAATACTCACACTAAAGTACAGTAAGCACATTTTTTTGGCCATTCCCAAACATTTTTAAATGAGTGAGATAACTATGTGGCACTACTAGTGCATTATAACTGTGCATTAAAATATCATGATACATACTGTGTATTGTAAAGACATCTTTAAATATGGTGTTTGGCCAAATCACTCACCCCTACTGAGAATAAATCAGTCTGATAATTACACATAAGAGAAGTGACAGATTAGATCCTATAACATTAGATTCTATTACACTCAGCAGTCACTGCAGAGCTTTTCTTTTTGTAACATAGTTGTACCATTTTCGATTGGAATTAAGTGTCCACCATTGTTGCACCTATAAAGGAAAATTTCCATTGTTTGTACTTTGATGTTCAAAATAAGTACCTGCACCATAACATTTTTCTGACAGTGTATGAAGTAAAGAATATATTGTTTTAATGTCTTACAAGCTTGACAGTGAAAGTAAACCACTATTAGCTGTCTTGAGTGGTTTTTTGGGCCACACAAACCACAGGCAATGCTCAGCCACCAACTCTCAAAACGGCCTGATGGCGTCTCAGGGCCAACAGTGTGCTTGGTGTGTCAGAGTCTGAGAGAGTGTATCTGTGCTGAAGGTAATTACTGTGGTAACGACTCTGAAAGCAGTGTGTGATTTCATGGCCTGCCTGTGTTCTTTATCTCCAACAGCAGTGAGACCCAAACCTAAACTCACATCAAGCCTTAAAGGAGCTGCACTGACAGGAAACTCAGTGATTCTGGAGTGCAGGCTGGATGAATCTGCTGGGTGGAAGTTTTACCTGTTCAACCACACACAGAATCCTCAGAATGAGATCAGGGCTGAAACTCACTCCTACATCATCAGATCAGTTAGTGTCTCTGATGAAGGTCAGTACTGGTGCAGAGCTGCGAGAGGAAATCCAGCCTACTACACGCAGTACAGTGATGTACTCTGGGTAAACATCACAGGTTAGTAAGAGACTTTGTGCTAAGTTTCAGCATGTAGGCAGCAGAGGTGGGTAGGAACACATTCTGATGAGTTATATCTACATAGTATGAGCCTGAAGTTTAAGTGTTATGATCTGGTCTTGGTCAGACCCCAACTTAAGTCAAAACCCAAACACATGAAACTCATTATCCAACTGCATTATATTTTTCTTAGATAGGGGAATGCTAATACTAATGACTAAGAGATGCTAACTACGCCAAACTCTGGTCTTTACCCAGATTAAAATTTAACTGCTCGAAAGTTGCTCTCTGATGGCTCAGTAGACTTGATGGTGATTATCTTTAAAAAAAATGGACAAAAATGAGACATGAGTTACTTCTGGCCCAGATAAAAATTAGAATAGTTATTCACAGCAACAGAACTGAGAAGGTTCTTTGTCTTGGATGAGAAATGGTTTCTGTCTGTAGTTCAGTTGCAGATAAACATGAGTGTTGTTATCTCCGCAGATCTAAGAACACTGTGTGACTTTATTAAGATTCTACTAAAACTCAAAAGGTGACACTCATGAGATCACTGAGGCCTTTTTCTCAGGAGAAATATCCGAACAGCAGAGCTCTCCTTTTCATCTCATTTCATTGTTGTCTAATAGAAATTACAGAGGTATTAAGGACATCTCTTTTTTGGAGATCATGGACAGGCATGTCAACACCAGATAGCAAAACAACAACACAAGAGTGATGTGAACAGAGAATAGGTTTTTACCAGTAGTATTAAATATGAAAATACAGAAAATGGGAAAACGCAGGTGAAGTAATAGCTATGAGTAAATAGTTCGAGTCTGTGTAGCAGCAGCATCATCAGGAGGGTCAGTTCATGTAGGTGAGGTTTGCACAGCGTTGTACAGCAGGAAGCTCCATGATGGTCAACCTGGTTCAGAATGCTGGCAGGCAGTGGGCACCCGAATAAGGCAGCAACAGCATCAGACCGCACAGGATTGGCAGTTGTTTAACTCAGCAGAGAAACACACAGACAGTTCTGTTAGGAGTGATTGAGAAGAGCACACAGTGTTAACAGAGTGCAGCAGAGACTCCGGCAGGTCGAGTTATTACAGCCTAACTAAAAGAGAGAGCCAGAAGGTGACAGAGACATGAGGCTCCCTGAGATGTCAGCGCCCCTCTGCTCCACTGTCACCAAACTTGAGTGAACACATGAGAACAGCGGGACGACAGCACCAACACTCCCAGTATAACAAAATACTCTATATCCATAAACCCTCAGATCTGCACCTTTTATCTAACAGGAAAACTAATTACCAAAAGCTTGACTAAACAAGTGGGTTTTTAGCCTAGACATAAAGACTGAGGCTGTGTCTGAGTCCCAAACACTGACTGGAAGATTATTCCAAAGCTGGAGGGCTTTATATGAAAAGGCTCTACCCCCTCATATAGACTTATTAATTCTCTGTGCTAACAGTAAGTCAGTACCTTGTGATCGAAGTAGGTGTGATGGTTCGTAATAAGAGAGAGATTCACTCAGGTAGTGATGGGTGAGGCCATTTAGAGCTTTATATGTCGGTAAAAGAATTTTTTATTCAATGCGGAATTTAACTGGCAACCAGTGTAGGTTTGATAAAACTGGGCTGATATGGTCAGACTTTCTGGTTTTTGTGAGGACTCCGGCTGCAACTTCTAAATGAAGGTTGTCAAGGCTTTTGCTGGACATTCCAGACAGCAGGGCCTTACAGTGATCCAGCCTTTAGGTAATAAATGCATGAACTAGCTTTTCTGCATCCTGTAGAGACAGTGTATTTCTTAATTTGGCAATATTGAGAAGATGGAGGAAAGCTATTCTAGTAAAATTGGTTATTCATGCATTGAAGGACAGATCGGAATCGATCATGACACCAAGATTTTTTACAGATGTACCTGATGCAACTGAGAAACTATTAAATTTAAGTGTAAATTAGTTTGTTTCTAGCAGCTTTTGGACCAAGAAGAGGAACCTCTGTTTTGTCTTTGAATAGGTTGAATAGCAGGAAGTCTTTTACACAGTCCTCAGTCTTATTAAGTATCATCTGGTTTGGTTGATATATATACAATTGTGTGTCATCAGCGTAGCAGTGGAAATTGATGCCGTGTTTACTGATGATGGTACCCAGTGATATATAATGTGAATAACAGAGGTCCTAAAATAGAGCCTTGCAGAACACCATACTTTATTTTTGTAAGAACAGATAATTCACCGTTTACATTCACAAACTGATAGTCAGGTAAAATCTGAACCAGGAAAGAGTTATTCCTGTTACTCCTGCCAGGTTTTCTAGTCTATCTAGTCCAGGGATGGGGGAGTAGCTAAGTAGGGTGCTACTTTTTGTAGCTAACTACAAATTTTTGTGGCTAATAGCTGCAGCCGCTACAGTTTTATGAAATGTAGCTAATAGCTGTAGCAGCTACAAATTTTTGTGTAGCTATAGCGTAATTTTTGCTGCAGTCTTCAGACAATCCACGCAAAATCTGAACCATAGAGCATGGTCGTTAACTGGGCTAGTGGCGACTGCAATCCTGACTGAGCTGTTCCACCTCGGAACAGGACATTTTTATTTTACCTAAAAATCCAATTCTGCTGTGGAGCTGCAACAGCTCTGCAGCAGTGGAGAGATTATTCAGGCCTGATTCTCACCCCAAACAGAGCCAGGGTCACTGATGAGGATTTTGAGGCTTAAGTGTTACTGAAGTTTAACAAACGACTCTGAATGTCTGTACATCTTGCTGAAATGTTCAAATTGGAGCAGTTTTATTTCAACAGCTGATAATGCTTTGCACAAATTGTTTGGTTTGTATACAGAAAGCAGACCGTAGTTTCTCTTCCTTTGAAATTCAGTTTCTCAATGTTAGCAATCGAGGAGCAAATGAGAGCTCATTTTCGCTCATCATAATCTACAGGCCACCGGGGCCTTACTCTGATTTTTTACAGGAATTTACTGACCTGTTATCTAGTTTAATAACAATCTCAAATAAAGTAATAATTGTTGGAGATTTTAATATCCACATAGACAAACCACAGGATCCGCTAAGTAAGGCATTTGTATCTATTTTTGGCTTCACTCAAAATATTATGGGGCCTACTCATTACTGTAACCTCACTCTAGACTTAATATTGACCTTAGGTATAGACATTAAGCATTTGGCCATCTTTCCTCAGACCACAGCAGTGTCAGACCACTACTTAATCTCATATGAAATCAGTTTTAGTCGTAATGTGTTCATCCTCACGCTATAGTGTTAAACGTACTATAACATCATCTACACCCAATAGCTTTATTGAAAACCTTCCAGATCTTTCATCCTTCATTAGTTGTCTGTCTGAACCTACTGAATTAGATATGCTGACTAAATGTTTGGAAGACACTTTTCGCTCTACTTTAGATATTTTGGCTCCACTAAAAAGTAAAAGAATAAGGCAGAAAAGGCTCGCTCCATGGTACAATGATCATACTCGAGCTATGAAACAGACTGTGCGATTAGAGCGTAAATGGCGTCAGACTAAACTTGAGTTTTTCCAATCTGCCTGGAAGGAGAGTCTTGTAGACTATAGAAAAGCACTAAAGTCAGCACGTTCAGCCTATCTCTCGTCAATGATTGAAAATAACAAGAATAATCCTAGGCTACTATTCAGTACTATCTCTAAAGTGACTAATAATCAAGCAGCTACTGAAGCCCAGATACCATCAGCCTACAGCAGCATTGACTTCATGAACTTCTTCAATAATAAAATTGAATTGATTAGGCACAAAATTCAAAAAGTGCAGCTAACAAGTGCAGTGTCCTATAAACCTAATCTAGATCTAGAGTGCAGTATAACCACTACAGAGACACTGGAGTCTTTTACTTTACTCCAACAAACAGAGCTCGTCCAAATTATTTAATCTTCAAAAACAACAACTTGTATACTCGATCCAATTCCTACAGGTTTACTTAAAGAGGTTTTGCCAGAAATAACCAAGCCCTTTCTATGTATAATAAACTCTTCTCTCAGCCTCGGGTATGTTCCAAAATCTCTTAAATTAGGTGTAATTAAACCCCTAATAAAGAAACCTAGTCTTGACCCCTCTGAGTTATCAAACTATAGACCTATTTCAAATCTTCCCTTTTTATCAAAAATTTTAGAGAAAGCCGTGGCAAAACAATTATGTTCCCATCTGCATAGAAGTAATATACATGAAAAATTTCAGTCTGGCTTCAGGCCTCACCATAGTACTGAAACAGCGTTAGTGAAAATTATAAATGATCTTTTATTATCCGCTGACAAAGGAAACATATCCTTGCTGGTTTTACTTGATCTTGGTGCAGCTTTTGACAGAATAGACCATTCCATTCTATTAGACAGGCTTGAAAAACTAGCAGGAGTGACAGGTAAAGCGCTTTCATGGTTCAAATCTTACCTTAATGATCGCTATGAGTTTGTTAATGTAAATGGTGAACGATCAGCTCTCACAAGAGTAAAGTATGGTGTTCCACAGGCCTCTGTCTTAGGACCCATATTATTTACCTTATATATGCTACCACTAGGTACCATCATTAGAAAACATGGCATCAGTTTCCACTGCTATGCCGATGATACACAATTGTATATTTCAGCTAAACCAGAGGACAGAATTGAACTTAATAAGATAGAGGACTGTGTAAAAGACATTAAAGACTGGATGTCAAGTAACTTCCTCTTACTTAACTCGGACAAAACAGAAGTTCTTCTTCTTGGTCCAAAAGCTGCTAGGAATAATCTGCCTACGTTTACTCTTAATCTCGATAGTTTCTCAATTGCACCAGGCACATCTGTAAAAAGCCTTGGTGTCACGATCGATCCCGATCTGGCCTTCGATGAGCATATTACCAATATTACCAGAATAGCTTTCCTCCACCTGCGTAACATCGCTAAATTAAGAAATGCACTGTCGCTACAGGACGCCGAAGGAAGCCTTTATCATGTCCAGGTTAGATTACTGTAACGCTCTACTTTCTGG